TGGGAAGAGGTGGGGGAAGGAGGGATAGGAGGAACTGATTGCAATGATGACTGTATAACCCCACTCTAGGGGAATGAATAACAGAAATGTAGGTGAACAGATACATTGGATGGTCTAAGATCTGGTCAAAATAATAATAATATAATAATAAAGGCTCTTTAGGAGTAGGGTGAGGGAGGGAGGAGATAAAGGGGAACTGATATCAAAGAATTCAAGAAGAAAGAAAATGTTTTGAAACTAGTGAGGGCAGAAATTGTACAATTATACTTGATCTAATTGAATTATGGATTGTTATAATATCCGTAAGAGCTCCCAATAAAATGATTTAAAGTAATAATAATTTTAAAAATAAAACATGAAAACAGAGGGGAAAACTGTTTGAGATTTGTCTTCTGACCCATAATATGGTTTATTCTGGGAAATGTTTCATGTGCACTTGAGAAGAATATGTATCTACTGTTAGGTAGAGTGTTTTATGCATGACTATTAGGATTATCCAGTTTGAGAAACAGAAAGAAATCTGGTTTTTGCTTGCTCAAATTGGTTGTTGAGCACCTCAAGTGAATTTTCCTATCGGTTCTAATACATTTCAACCCCATTCTTATCATCATATCTCTTTACAGATATTTTCTATTTGGCAAGATATAAGTCTCATACTTTCCTTTAGTTATGTAGAAATTATTTCACTTAATCCTTGAACTAATTTTAAGTAGTTGATTTAAAAATCTCTGACTAGTAAGTCAAATATCTGGGCTCCATCAGGGACAGCTTTTGTTTATCTGGGCTCCATCAGGGACAGCTTTTGTTGTTGTTATTGTCTTGTTTTTCCTGTTTATGAGCCATACTTTGTTGTTTGTCTGCATGTCTTCTATTTTGTGGTTGACAACTAGACATTTAAAATGGATGAGACAAATCTGGAATTCAGTCCTTTCTCTTCTGTGGCATTTACATAACTCCATGCCAACTTGATATATACAAGTGTAGGGGGTGAAGTGTAGCCTGTCCATCAGATCACCCCGGAAGTATGCTGGGTGACTCCTTGTGGGTGTGACCTCTCCTAAAGGAGGGTACTGGGAAACTTCCTCTCTCTCTGCCTTCACTTACCTCTTGCTGGGCCAAGCTGAGACCTTCGAGAGCCCTGTGATGCTTCCACCACCATTGGATCCACCGGATTTTTCATCCACTGCCCGGTGATGTTCCTGCATTCTGCATCATTGCATGGGGCTTCCTGAGTCTGAAGAGGGACTTGTGGGCTAGAATCGTACATGTGGACTTGAGTTGGACTGGGCTGGAGTGTTTTCTTGATAAATAATGATTTCTTGATAGAAAGTACTTTCATACATATGTACGAATGTCCCTGGATGTGTTTCTCTAGCCATCGTGGCCTACCACACCTTCCTTCCACCAACCTCCTCCCTGTGGCTTCTCCAACGTATGTTATTGTTTCTTTTATTGCTGTTTGTATGGTTGTTTCTGTTTGGTGCGTTTTCGGAATGAATTTTGGAAAGTCAGTATCGTTTGTTATTTGTGGCCACTGGAGTCTCTGCTTGGTTAACTTGGTAGGCAGTTAATGATTAAACAGAGATTTCCTTAGTACTAGGAACCAATAAGTCAACTAGTCTTTTCCAGGGGGCTCTGTGTGCATGCTAGGGCATACTTCAATAGTTAGGCAGTTGACAACACAGCCTTTGCCTTTATTTCCTGGGTGTGCTGAGCCTCAAGGTCAGCTCAATGTGAGAACATAGGGCCTTCCCAGTCTTTCTTAAGGGATTTGCACAGCTCAGAGAATGCATACCACCCTGTGTTTGGTCTTGTAGGTTTCCAGTATCATGCTGGAGTTCTTCAGTGCCTCTATGCACATCTCATCCCCCAGCTGTTTAAGCTTTTTGGTTAGCCTGTTGTTTACCCCCACCGTTTTTCACTTGTTCAAGCAGCCCCAATGAAAAGAACTTCCCTCTGTTTTCAGTGAGGTTTTCCACACTCATTGCCAAGTTAAGTCTAATAAAGATAGCCTTGCAAGTAGAACCTCTGAGGAAATCAACTCTCACTGCCATTAAGTCAATGCCGACTCATAGCAGTCCTATAGGACAAGTAGACCTGCCCTTATGGATTTCCCAGACTGTAACTTTATGGGAACACAAAGTTTCATCTTTTTCCCGTGGAGCTCCTAGTGGTTTCGAACTGCTGACTTTGAGGTTAGCAGCCCAGTGTGTAACCTACTGTGCCATCACATCAAATCATGAGGAAATGAGGTTCCTGGGAAGGCATTCCAACTCCATTTGCCTCGGCTGGTGTATGGAGGGCTTTTTCACTGCAATTGTGGGGTTTTGAAGGCTAGCTACTTGGGCTTCCGTGGAGGAATCAAAACAGAGGGAACTATAATGCTGCCACTAAGTTCAGTGTTCTAATTGATATTCAGAAGTTCTTCTTGCTGCAAGCACTCAGTAAATTTCCAGAGTTCTGAGAAAATGGATTCAGACAAATTTTTTTGCCAGATTTAATAATGCTTCACATGGAGGGATTTTTGGGGTTCCTCGCTCAATTTTCACAGACGTCTCTCCAAACACCATTCTTTCATCTGGAAGCCCCTTCCGCATCAAGTCCCACTCAGCTTTCAGGCCCAGTCCCAGGTCACAAGTAACCTTTGGACTGTGTTTCCCTGTGGGCACGCTTTCCCTAGTTCTTATTGTAACTGTCCCCTGCAGGCTTCAGGAGGCCTTCACATGAAGGGAAATGGCCAAGAGACTTTGACAGATTGCTCCAGAGTCTGGGCTTCTGGTGGAACTAACCACCACCTTTGTTGTTGTTAGCTGCCCCAAGGTGTTCCCCAACTTGTGGAGACCCGGAGATCTATGGAATAAAATACTGTGCAGCCCTGTCCTGTCCGCATTCCTGCAGATCAGACTATTGTGGTCCATAGTGTTTTCATTGGCTCCTACTTGGAACACAGTGGCCAGGCCTTTCTTACCAGTCTGACTTAGCTGGGAGCTCCACTGAAATCTGTTCGGCATCATCAAAATGCACATTGACAGAGGGTGGGGTCTGCATGTGGGGTACACTGGCCAGAAATTGAACCCAGGTCCCCTTCTCCGACCCACCCATGGCCTCAATGACAGCCTTCATCATTAGAAGTCAATAACCAAGAGTTGGAGCTGTTTTTTTTTAAGTGCTGTGTTCTGTCCTTAGAAGAATGACCTGATGGCAAAGTTAAAATGTTCACAAGTTAACATAGCGTTTAAGGGCACAGGCTCTGTAGAAAAGCCGTCTGAGTTCACTGCTTCCTAGTGGCGGTAAGACTAACACCCCCCTCACCAGAAGTACCCAGAGTGTTAAGTTAGAAGCAATTCAAATAAAATCCTTAGAACCATTCCTGGCATAAACACACCATACGTAGTTGCTGGGATTTTTATCACTAACAGAGTCATAGTACCTAACACAAATTCTGTATTGAACGGCTTTTGCTACAAGGTCAGTGATTTAAAAAAAAAATTCCCAGCAATTATGTATGGGGTCTTTGTGCCAGATACAGCGCTAAGGACTTTATTTGAATTGCTTTTCACTTAACACTTGGGTATCTACATGAATTAGGTAAACAAGGAGCCCTGGTGGTGTAGTGGATTAGGAGTCAGACTTCTAAACTACAAGGTCAGCAGTTCCAGCTAACCTGTTGCTCCTTGAGAGAAAGATGAGGTTTTCTACTCTGGTAAAGATTTACGACCTCAGAACTCTGTAGGGTCGTGATAACTTGGAAATAACTCAATGACAGCGTGATTTTTGATACTGGAAAATAACCCCAGAAATGCAGAAATATGTACCCAGAGCAATAACCCTATCAAATTATATGTAGTGTGGATATGTGTTTAAATATCTCAAAACCAGGGAGTGATCACTGAAGATATGGGTGCTATAGAAAAGTGTGGTAAAGAAACTAGATGGTACCTGGCTATCAGAAAGAATAATGTCTTAAAGACATTTTTTCAAACAAGCAGCCATCTAAGTGAGGTGTCAACTAAGTCCACATGGAAAAAGCATGCAGCCTATGTGATCCAAGGATTGTAAATAAAATAATCCAAATCTGAAGGAGAGAATGGTATCAGAGCTTAAAATTGTGAACACCTGGTTTGTAGAAAGCTATGGGGTGACAGTGGAATTCCAGAATTCATTTGCGGGGTCCACACATGGATTAAGCCTCTGGTAAATCCGCTCTGATCTTAGTTGAGGGATATGAATAACCCTGTTATCAGAGAATTGTGAAGTCTACTATGGCAGATATAGTTCAGTTAACATGTAGCGTTTTATCATTTGATCTCCCTTCTGTTTGCAAATGTTTCTGTTTGGATTTTTTTTTTTTTTAATAAAAGGTACATACACTGGAATTACTCTGAGCATGAACGAGGGATGTGAATCACCTTGCTAACGTGCAGCATTGATTGGACAGTGGACTGCAGCAGATGCTGGTAGGTTAAAATTTAGCCCCCTATCACTTGACAGCCCTTAGGATCCATTTTAACTTTGTTCTGGTCTTCCATATTTTCTGCTTTCTTTTTGATTGCCGTTTGATGTTTTACTTTGTCATTGCTGCGACAGAGGAGGTTGGGGGGGGGGGGCGATGGGGAGCTGAGAACGATGAGTCCAAGAATGAAGACAATGCTCGAAACGGACGGTGGTGGAAGGTTGTAAGGCTCCTCTTGATGGGACTGACTATTGGCTTGTCTGACATGTGACTCATATGCTGATAAAAGTGCTGGGGGTGAAAGGTGAAGCATTTGACCACTAGTCAAAAGGCGGCAGACACCACAGAAGATCATCCTGAGGGTCTGGCTGCCAAAGCCCGCAGCCCCGGAAACCCTGGAGGAGGCTGGCCCTGTGACGTGGGCAGGCCACCCTGAGTTGGAACAGACTCCAGGACCACTGGGTTGGCTTTGGTGTTCCCGTGACAAAGGAATCCCTCATGCAGCCTTGCTCTGTGATCACTACCAGTTTAAAACAAGAGAAAAAGGGAAACAAAGAGAAGAGTCTGTTTTATTGGCTGCTCTTTGGGAAAGAATATTCAGCATGTTACTGAGGTGAGAAATAAATTCTAGTTACAGATGTATAAAACTTTAAACCAAATGGGCTTTTATGAGACTATCAAATCCCCTCTAAACTTTATACAAAGCCAGGTACCTCATAGTCTAAACAATCCTTCGTTATTACATGGTTAAAGCATGCATAATACACAGTGCAGTTGATATTAAATATCTCACGGAACTGACAAATCAATAACTACTTTCACTCTTAAGTATTATCTGCTCACTTAAAAATGCTCTGCACATACACCTTCCAGGTCTCCTTAAAAGGACTTTAACTGTGAACTATGTGTTATTATAAGCTCTTTGTGTCCACTCATCATACTGCTTCCCAATAGCTTTCAACAGTTTTCTTAAGGTTTCTTTAGATGTGTTAACCTTTAAGGAACATTCGATTAAACACTCAGGTCTTCCCTCTGTAACACACGTTCGGCTCATAAACAGTTCAGTACACAAACTGTCCACATGGACTGTTCCCTTACCTGAAGTCCCAGGTTAAAAGCCTCTGAAAGCATGTGAGGTTAAGTAAAATCGTATTGATACAAAAATCATAGAAACTTTTATTAAACAACAAATCTAAATGTGAAGCGATGACTTCTCAACCTATCCTCCACTCAGGTCTATGCACTCCTGACGGCGTTTCCATCTCCTTAATCTTTTCCAGACTCAGCCGTCCTCTCTGACTTACACTACATCAGAATGGCAGTTTGGGCACCCCAGAGGGACTCTTAATTGTGTTCCTTTTGAACGTTCTTTGAGTTTTAGTAACAAAAAGAAGTCTGAAGGGGTGGGTGAAGTAAGGTTTCCCAAGGAAACTCTCACAGGCCCGTCATTGCTAGCCTCAAACAATGAACAGGTGCACTGTCAGGATGGCAGGCCGGAAATTCCTCTGTGCAACTTTCCTGGCCTTTGCCTCGCCGATGCAATTTTCAATTTTCTTAAAAGTCGTTCCTAATAAGCCCCCATGATTGTCCCATGTCCTTTGAGAAATCCAGTCAAAAGCACCCCTTGGGGTCCCTCGCAAACCATGGCTACAAGCTCCTGAGCTGGCTTCTCTGCCTCCTATCTAACTGGCCCAGAGATTCCTTCCCAAGCCAGTTGGGGTAGGGCCTTTTGTTTACCAGCCTCCGCAGGAGACTAGGACGATGCTGTGACCGAGAGAACTTGTCTGCAGCCATCCACCGATCGCAGAATGGCAGACACCTGTCTTAACACGTTTCACTTGGAATCAACCTGGGCGCCGAGGAGCTGGAATCACAGTAGCAGTACTTCCTGCCTTTCCCTCCCACTGGGGCCAGCATCCTTGCTCAACTCCCAGGAAGTTAGGTAGAGGAGATCAAATAAAATGCTTGACATCACAGTGATCAAACGCTTTGAATAATTACATTAAATAACCATAACTTTTTTTTTAACTATTCACATTCCACACAGTGGAAATTATCCTTTCCTTCAGATTTTTTGCTTACATTTTCAACTTTCAAGAACGACAGTAACAAAGAAACAACTTACAGGCTTACAACATGTGTTTCTCTCTTTTAATGCCAAGCCCAAAGTGTACATCGTAAAATTCATATCTGGTGTTTGGCATCATTTTAACAGGAAAGATTGAGATCACGAATATCTTGCCATAAAAAAATATTCTACTATAATAATGAGAAATATATATCTATCTATCCTTACATCATCGGTGACTCCAATACAATATGTAACAAATATGGCATTTTCAATAAATGTTAGAAGACACACCATCCTTGTGCTAGTCTGGATATAGGCACAGTAAGCAAAGCAGGCGTTTGTCTCTTTGGCAAGAGCTGTGCTTTAGGGCAGTAACACTGCTGATTATCTCCGTAAAGTTAATTTTGAGGCAATTCTCTTTACTCGAGCCAAATCTGACTTACACGCAAGACTGTGGTACCAGCTGCTAACAGAAGAACCCTGCTGCCAGCTTCAGTCATCTCTTCAACAAGCTCGCCTGCTTGTGGCAGAGTGACAACAACAAGAGACACGTAGCGTCTGCCGGTGCCGAGTGGCATCTCTCCTCTCTGGTGTGGTTTTGTATGTTCAGCTCACTCCCTCTCCCCAACTCTCGCAATTCCCAGCTTAGCCTTTGTGTGCTTAATTAAATCCATGCTCTGCTTTCCAGTGGGGGGATGTGGAGGATACATCGATTTGGGGGCAATGACAGGGGCACACAGGGGTAGACAAGACACACAGACTCAAGTGTTAGCATACATGTGCCTGATCTAGAACCATCCCTTGTGAGTACTCAGAAGTTCAACATTAGATTCAGCCCCTGGGCCTCAAAGCATGGCTCCTGTTTAGTTGCTAGATGGGAAAGCACTATGGGAACAAAATGAAAACAGCGTCTTCATTTCAATGAGCCTTGGACAGTGGTGCCCACGAGAGGCAACTGCACTCAGGTCCACGGTGTTTGTTTCCCATTTGACTCACGACTGGGACAGCAAGGGGGGTGTGAAGAGACAGGGCAACAAGAGTAGCTGTGGGAGGTACACCTAACTCGGACTGGATCAGGAGAGGCTAGCCAAATCTAGAGGGCAGTAAGGTTGGTGACTCATCTTGGCTTTGGACATTGGGTAAATCCTCAGTTGCCCAAGTCGAATCAGAGGCAAGTGCCTCTCAGGAGACACTGAAGAGTCACAAAATTATGCAAATCCCACGAAGAGGGCAATTAATCCTCCTGAGCGGCCAGCTTGTAGAGGCATTGGAACATCCCCTACATCTCCTCCTGGTTATTACGAACTAACTATACTCCTTCGACAGAGTCCCCAGAGAGTACCAATGGTTAATAAACGTATCTGCTCACCACAAAGTTGGAGGTGCTGGTCCCCCTAGAGGGGCCTCAGAAGAAAGGCCTGGCACTCTAGGTCTGAAAGCATAAGCTGTTGGAAGCACTATGGGACAGTTCTACCCTGACGTATGAGGTCTCTGAATCAGAATCCATTCCACTGCAACTCATTCGCTGCAGTGGTCATTTCCTTACGGTCCTCTTACGTCTGGTTCTCTCTCCACTAAAGCTGGAAGTTACGAAACATCACGGGACAAGACCTGGACTCTGTCAACGCAGATGGTTTCTTTTCGATCAGGGATACTCACAAGAGGTAGCGCCTCTAGGAGACAAGGTCATGGCTCTCAGAAACATTATGCAGATTCATGACATGGGAAAGAGGTGATTTTACCCAAGAGGACGGAAAGCTATAAGGACCTTCAGTCTAATAGGATTGTGTCTTTGGGGGTTCTGAGCTCTAACTCTTGCCCACCCGAGGAGCCATTAGGTTTGACTTCTTTACTTGTTTCTAAAAATAGGAGTGGCCAATGCTTATTATACCTTATGTTTGGGGTGGGTGGGTTACCGTTTGTCTTAGTAGACAATGTTAGCCAAGGTTTATGATTTGGGGGTACTTTCATTTCTCCTGGGCTCTGCTAAAGACTGAAAGATAAAAAGGCGAAATAAAACAAAACAGAGAAACAACTTTGGCTTCACCCTGGGTCTCCCTGCTGACCCACGTTTGGGCTCAACTCAAGATCACTCTCAATCCCTTCCCTCCTCGGCTTCCCTCTCCTCCTCCGGCCGCCTTCCCCAAGGTCTGGAAGATCTTCACAATGGAACACACATCCACACCCCAGTCCATTCATAACCCAAGTCGGAACAGAGTGAGGAAGGGAGAAGAGAGCACAGCGGTGAACAGCACTTCTAAAGCAGGTCCCTGGCCCCAGCATAGCCTGCTCCAATGGTGCCTTCGGGAAGGAGAGGCTGGCCCCCTGCGGGGAGACCCAGGCCCAGGGAGATGGTGCTCCACCTGCCGTGCCTGTGCCTCCGAGCAGTTTGGGCTTCAGTGTCTGCACCCAGCCTGGTGGAAGCAGATCCTTGGTGTCCTTAGAAGTGCCCTCCAGGAAAGGATGCTTAGTTTTAATTCTTTCTGTCTTCCTGGTGTCTCTGAACCCCCACAGGCACCCATACACCCTCATGCAACGCAACTACAGACAAGCAGGCTCCTGCCAAGAGGCAGCTGGTGGTTCTTCGTGCCCTTAGGTTTAAGCCAAGTGAAAATCAAGTTGTGGTGGGTCTGGCTTGGAGGCCGCCTGGGGCTGCATCGCTCGGGCAGGCGGGGCGTGGCAGCTTAATCCAAATCGATGGAGATGCAGCGGCACTGCTTGACCCGGGTGACCCTCTTCTTCTTGGTGGGCGGCTGGAGTTGGGGGCAGTTGAGCGTGACCATCATGGTGGTGAATTTCTTGGGCTTGCAGAAGGAGCAGGACTGGAAGGAGCCTTCCTCCTTACGGATGTGCCGCGGGATGTAGAAGGAGTTGCACTGGCCGTAGCAGAAGCGGTTGATGATGGTGCGGCTGCTGCAGCCCTCCTCGTGGATGGTCTGCTTCAGCGGCTGCGTTTTGCACCAGTCTCGCTTCAGGTACTTGCGCTCGGTCACATGCAGGGCCTCCTGGCTGGACTCCAGGACCTCCTCCCCCGGCATGGCGGTGCCCCGGCCCTGGCCCCGCCCCCGGTTCCTGGAGCCCGGCTGCTGGGGCGACTGAGTCTGCTCCGAGTCATTGTGCTGGGCCTTGTCTGGGGGGGGGATGGCCCCTTGAGACCCCTTCTTTTTCCCTTCGGCGGCTGGCAGCAGCGTCCCCAGGAGAAGAAACAGGGCTCCCACAGCATAGGCGGTGCGGCTCATGCTAAAAGGGGGGG